CCGCAGCGATTCGAACATCTGCCCGGTGAGACTGTTGCGCGCGATTACGCTGCGAGCCGACCGTTGTTTATGCACGACGTGACTCTGCCAGCAGAGATGAAGACATTCCGCACAGCCGACGGGCAGAAAATCGTGATGGGGGAAAAAAAAAACGGCGAACAAACACGGTCTGTAAGTACAAGCACCGGCAAAATCCCAAAACTCTACAGAAATCCGTTTTTGCGCGCAGCCGAGTGTCTTACGTGTTGTTATTCTAATGAGGTATACGGTTTTTTTTTTTTTTTATTATTATATACTATATATTCTATGGCCGTTGGCATACAAATAGTCTTAACGGTTCACATTTTAGGATAAATGATTACACGTGTACAATTTACAAATCATTAACTATTGATAAGGTTAGTCTTGGTCGTGGAGGTGATCGTGAGGCTTTTGTTGTCCGGGTGAAATGCTTCTGACATATATACGGTTATACGGTTTTATTTTATCTAATTATTGGTGTTTTTTTTTTTTTTTTTTTATGACATTTCCTCGGATAGAGAAATCGGATACAGAGAGGTGCGCGAGCGTTGGCAAAGTAAATTTATGGATTGCACACGGGATTCGATCCTATTATACAGAGTGTATAGTTATATACATGTATACATTTATCTAACTGTTATAGCGAAGGGGAGGTGGTGGGGAAGTGAAAGGACTATAATCCATACCGTTCGCGGTAAGGATAATATTTTTGCGCGCCATTGACAACGCGGTAGTGGTCCTTGTAGGATAAAGAAAAAAAAAAAAAAAGCGCATTAAAAATAGAAAGATGGCTGATATGACCAACGTATACACACGTGTACATTGTCGAGAAACGATTTATGGGTAGGAAATCAATAAATGTCGTTAATCGACCGTTGCCAACGTTCGGTTTCAATAGACGCAAGGAAACGTCGCACCGGCCTAATGAACCTTATCAGATTATACCTAGTACACTCTTCCAGCGGCTGATGAAACTTTGACCGCGTTCGGCTTTCGCCATATAACAACTTGTCGCCATATATATATATATATATATATATAGATATATATGTGTGTATGTGTGTGTGTGAATACGAAACCGAATTACGTGTGTATGTATTTTTTATGTTTTTCACTTTCTAAAAAATACAAACGAATTTGAGTCAATTTTGTGATCTGCACACATGCATGGTAAAATATTGTGTTCGTATAAACAAATGCATAAGCTAATCGTTCGATTAGAAGTCGATGTAGACTAGTTGCAAAACGGTCACTATTTCTTTATACGCACGCGAATATCGACAATAACTCATGACAAATTTGTATTAGCAATGATACTCAAAATATCATCGCTTTTTATATTTTTCGATATATTTTTTTCAATATATAGTATTGAAAGATTGCTGAGCCTATCTTGAACCAACAATGTCCTTAACCAAGTTTTTATTATTTTCATTGCACTGAAACTTCTTTCGCAAGTAGCCAAACTATGTAATTGGTATTGTTAATGTTATTGTAAATAGTTTTTTAATATTACTTATTTTACGATACTAAAAAAAAAAAAAAATGAACAAATAATTATAAGTAAATTATAAAAACAACGAATAACATTTCTAACAAAGTTTCGATTTTGGGGGAGCTATTAAAATATTTGGATGGTCTAAGCCCCCCCCTTCAAGCCTCTCCTGATATCCGCCTATGCCAAACGGATAAGATCAATAACTCATCATTCACTCGATTACGCGCTCACTAACACACACACACACACACACAAAAACAGCGCAAATATATCTCGTAAATATACGATATAACGCGATTTGTGCACAATTTTTAGTTGAACAACCGTTCGCCGTTGGTTTATGGAAACACCGAGTGCACGGTATAATCGTGCGGCGAACGTATACACGTGACGTGACCTATAAGTAAGACTTGTAAATCGTTGAAAAAATAAGGGAAACGAATTTTATTGCAGTGTTCGAAACGTAGATCGCAAGATGATTGAATTCAGCTAACGTTCAACGCGGTCGAAAATTATGCGTTGTGTTTTTCGTTTTCTTTCGAGGCACGCGCCGATTTTTTCTCCCGACTATGAGACGGTTGACCGACCGCGTTCTCGCAGTTACGCCTCGAATCGAACGTACGCGCGCGCGTGTACGATTATTACGAAATCATAATTAACACGTAAAACATACGCGTAAAATCATGAACGATCAACATCAACAAAACCTGGTCGGGGCACAATAACGTTTCGACGATCGAACGTACGTCTCGACGCTACGG